AGAGTTCAACTGTAGCATAGGAAAACATGTTCTATATCATTAACTTATAACCTGCAATACATGTGAATTTCTTGAATGTGTTATTAATCACATCTTTATCCCATTTTTTTCTAATGACTGCCCATTACTAACTAAAAACTGCAGGACTACATGTTCATACCTATGGTTCATACTGAAGAGTGATCAGATTTTTTAAAGAATTTGACCCCTAATTTTTTCTTCTCTCCACCTCTTGTTTATTAATTGTTTTTGAAAACTTGTTAACTTCTCTGTTGTTCTTTTGTGTTCATTCCAATGTACATATTTTAAACACCCAATACTTAAGACGGACAGCAAAACTCTACAACCCACAGTCAAAATATTGGAGAGAGTTGTCTCTCCCACCACTTGCAGGTTGAGGACACTGACCCACGAGTGCAAAACGAGCACATCATACTTTGACAATGAACGCAGACGAGTCCTTCAATTTGAACTGATCAGCAAATCTATATTGTAATGCATAACATATTATATGTTTTTCTAACTCTGAGTATCAGTGCAAAAGCCCACTGCTCCATAAGTACACACTCTGGGGTTGGATTTCAGTGACTGTCAGCTTTACTACTTTAACATGTTGCTGAATTTAACAGATAATGCATAAGTCATTTCATGTTTATTTCGGAGTAGTAGTCGACTGTTCTTTCTAATTGCTGTCCAATGCAGACCTCAGTCATAAGGTCTTCACACAGGTGTGAAAGGTGAGGATAGTGAGCTGCTCAGGAGACAAAGAGCCGAGAGACTAACGGTCATCTTCTGCATCGGAAAGTCAATTTCCAAAGGGAGAATACTTTCTTTAGTGTTGCTGGAGGAGGAGCCCAGATTTCAATTTAACATGTGTCCCATCTGATGTTTAGAGATATATGACAAAATTTGCAATAAATGTGTTTGCAAAATGTTTCATATTTGCGATTTATGATTTAGATATTAGAGTCCTCTTTTTATACAAAGTGTTTTCAGGTTGTGTTTTATGCTGTATTGTGTTTGCTTGTGATATGAAATCTACTTGACATACCTCTTTTCATGTATTAATTTCTGGTGTTTAAGTGATTTTGTGTCATTCAATTAAGAGGATACATTTTAAGTATTCCTTATGTAGATATATGTTGATTCATCATTGGAATACAGGAGGAATTTCCGTTGTCAGGTTTACTAGATTTTTGAAATGTTGACATATCCTATGGATTCCATTATCTTAACAACTTCATCTCAAAATGTTACTGGAGAGGGATATACTATTAAAATGTATATCCACTTTGTCTATAGTGATCATTTTGCTATGTTGTATAGTGGGTGTGGATTGTATAAATAAAGACTCACTAAAATTGTATTGTTAATTGGTGTTAATTGTTGAAACAATAAGATCAGATAGATGAGGCTAATGAAGCGGGCATGCCAGAGAAAATAATATTTGTTCTAGTTATAGTGGGTTAGGGTTAGGGTGAAGTAATAGTCAAGCTACAAGGATGTTCTGTTTACAAGAGTTTTTTTGTATTTACTCAAATTAAACATATAACCTATATTTGGATATCAATACTCATAAAAATATATGAATGTAAATATAAAAATAGCATTTCCTCAGTATTTTTTCTCACTAATTGCCAGAAATACCTGCATTGTTTGAATTGTTAAACTGAGCCTCTTGTTTGGTTTGTTCATTCCTTGAAAAGACCAAAAACAGACACAAAGAAAACGTTATCTCAGAGTTATCAGCTGATGAATATGTTATCCCCTACTTCTTTGCTAAAACTGATTCATATAATAACTATTTAAATCTATTTTACATGTTGTATAATCTGTTGTCTCCCTCTGCCAATTCAGGGTGGTTTGGAGGGGGCGTGGTTTGGAATGTGTAGTCGGGGGCGCGGTTAGGATTCAGCAGTCGGGGGCGTGGTTTATATATACTCGCTGCCACAACTAGCACTACCCTGCTGGTCAACCGAGGGAGCAGAAAAATAAGAGAAGACCTTGACGTCATGACGTCAGACGCACAATGACGAAGAGATACTGGGGGTCTTTGATTCATAGAAGAAACGGGGATAAAAGGAACAACTTGTGCTTGAATGAGATGGTGCAGAAAGTAGACTCATCTGTAAGGCAACGGTGGCACCTTGACGTTGGCTGCCAACCGCAGAATATGACAAATTAAAGCAGAAACTAAGTGAGTTTCGTGGAAAACTTGCTGCTACTTCAATTACTACTCAAATGCTATTGTAAGAGTGCAGTGTGAAGAACAGAGATAATGATGAGATCCAGTTCTTCTAGTGAGTCAACTCCAAGTATAAATATAATACACCTTGTTCATGGCAGCCATTTTGACATGAAATAGAAGGTAAACAGGTGTTACTGATCACATGAATTAAGGCTCTGTTTAAATAGTACGGTGGCTGAGAGCTCAACGCACTGCAAATCAAGAAAACACATGCAAATAGAAAAAACATGTGCAAGTTAAAAATCCATCATCAATTTGAAGACACATGCGCTGCAAAGTCACAACAAATGCAAATACAGAAACACGCTGCAAATTGCGAAAGCGACAATTGAAATGTTTCAGGGGACCCAAAACAATGATGAACCTGTGGAGTTATTGAATTCTGCTACTGGTCAGTGAAGGAACTTCACAAATCATTGAACTACAGCCAGGTTCATCACTTTTTTGGGTCCCCTGGCATGTGATGTGACTCTGCAGTGTATGTGTTTGTCAAATTGATGAAATTATTTTCTTAATTTGAAATGATTTTTCTATTTGAATGTGTTTTCTCAATTTCCAGTGCGTTGAGCTCTGGGCCACCGCAAATAGGGCACAACCTTAATGAATGTGATAAGTACAAACTATTTCATGTCAAAATGGCTGCCGTGAAAAGGGGTGTATTAATCAGTTTCAAATAGGATCCTCAAATCCTCATTATTCTGCAAAGCTGGATCATTTAGTAGCTGCTGTATCCAGGTCAATGCTTTTGTTTTGCCATTAGATGCTGCTGCTGCTACACCAGAGCATGAGACACCACATGTTCTGAATGAATGTGTAAGTATGAGAAAATAAACTTGTTTTTGATCAGGAGCCAAATTATCAGTGACCTGTTTATATAATTTATTTTTGTTTCTCTCTGAGTTTGGTAAGCAAATACAAAAAAGCCATCCACAGTCTGTGAGAAATCCACCCACCTATTGTATCAGCACTGCAGGTGTGCTGAGGTACAATCGTGAGTCTGATGACAACAGGACCAAAGTTTCAAAGGTTCTTTCAAAAGTACTAAGATCACATTTCCATCAACTGTAAATTCACAGCAACGTAGATTTCTGTTACTGATTAGCCTGATTAAAAATGTTTTTCTAGCTCCCACCTCTAGCAAAATATGCAGTGAAATGTGAGCACTGTGGAGAAAAGGCCAGCCCTTCCCTCGATCTAACTTGGCTGCAGAAGCCTATGGTGAGGCAGACAGTAAAAACTAAAATCCTCAAATTTACCTGATGCACCACTGACCCCCTGTGCACCCTTCTTTTGTGTCCATAGACAGCCCAACGCTTTTGTTGTGCTCAGCATGAGCAGCTGTGTAAGATGCTGGTGAAGGAGAGAGATTTGAGTGTGGGGAGATGTGGCCTGTCAACCATAAAGGAGGAGGATGAGTTTCTCGATGACATGCTAATTGGACTTAGGTATGATTTATTTATGTTTTTTTTTGGACAAATAATAGACCCACAAATATAGTCACAACTAATCCTGAATGTATTTGGACTTTGTCATAGAGCACAGTCAGACGTTAGTATCAACAGGGGGTACTCAATCCAAGTGGCGACAGAATCGTGTAAGTAACTGCTCAGTAAGTAAGATACACATTGGCAACTTTGAATCAGTTCATCACATAGACTGTATATAAAGATGGACGACATAACTGCTCCCCAAAAGTGAAGACAAAGTGTCTTGATCACCATCTGGTGGCTGGCTGCTGTATAGCTCATAAATCCTGCCTCCTCAGTGCTAATTAATTGCTGGTACATGGACCAAACTAAAAAGTACATATCAAATGTATTTGACAGAATGCTTTCTTTCATCTTAGGTAGTTCTCATCACACTGATGCATGTTCAAATGTTAATTCTCCTGATAAGTTTGGTTTTAATTTGTTATTTGATGCGATACAAATATGTGGTGAAACGTCACGATTGACTCGTGATTGGTTGAGTGTGTGTCTCAATGCAGACACTCCTGCGGCTCAACCCCTTGATCACTAGTGCCCCAAACTATGGCTTCAAATGCTCAAGAAATGGTGGCATTCATATTTTTGTTTCATTTCTGGATAGTGGGAAGAAGTGGCAATGCATTGTTAATCTTTATAAACAGTTTTTGGTTCAGCCATGTGGTCTTGATAGTGTGCATACGATTTTGCGAGTCTGTTCCTGTTATTGGTGAGAACCTCAACATGTGAGACCATTACACTTTGTTTTGTGCTGTAATTTAGTCGCCCCAAGGTCAAACATCTTCCGCTTCCGGCTCTCTTCCGCTCCAGGAAAAGGAAATTGGACAGTGTGTTCTAGTACAGAGCCTGAGAGGTGCTTGACAACAGAACAGGAGGAGACTCAGGCTTTGGTCCCTTGTGACCACAAGCCTCTTAAGTTTGGAATGTGTCATCATCAGGTAACCACAAACTCTACTTCATCTTTTTGTCAGAGCTGCTTCCTGTTATGTGCATTTTTGTTTGACCCTTTTTAAATCTTATTGTATTTATTTGCAGGATGGGTCAGAATTTCTTCTCAAATATTATTCCAGTGGCAAAAAATTTCTTACCCTGTTCCGTGACGGCTCCTCTCAGATCTTGTATCCTTTCAGATTTAATGTTTGGAGATTTTATATCATGTGATCAGATTTTTCAGTTGAAAAATTATATCAAAGTAATAAAAACAAAGATGGAAATTTGAACCAGGGAAAAATCACGTGTTAGATGATATATGAGATGTGCACTCTACAGTGGGTGTTCCCATCCTTATCACCATGGTAACAGTTATCCCTCAGGCCAATTGGCTCTTCTTGTGGTCACTGAAGAAAATGGAAGGGTCTGCATCGTGTACGATGACAGCAACGCCCCCAATCAAGTGATGAGAGCCGTGTTCCAGTCTGATGGCAGGGCTGCATGTTACCACAGCAATGGAAATATATGGTATTAAGGATATTACATATACACATTTTTAGTTTRATCCATATTCATGTGTGGCATTAACCATGTGTGTTCTGTGTGTATTTGTGTTCATGTTGCAGGCTGTCCTTAAACACATCGGGGGGTGAGTGTTTAGACAAGACAGGTGCCAGAGTTCGTCGATGGAGCTGGGACGGTCCCCTGCACCCTGTCTTCTTATCCCTTAACAAAGCTGTTGGGGTCCGAGTCCTTGGGAGGGAACAAGTGTTTGTTTCCTTCCTGGTTCAAGGCCAACAAGCAAAGTTTCGCGTGGGCACCTGCTCTGCTCAGGTAAAGTAAAGCATTCTTAAAAATTTTTTGTCATCACATATTCACCTTGCACTTTCCAGAACCTCCAGCTCTGCAACACAAGCTGTGCACAACACTTCTTTGTCTCTTTTTCAATAACGTTTCTGCAGGATGTAGAATGTACCATCCTGACCGTTTGTCTTGAACCTCTCCTGATGTTTTCTCCTTAGCTTTACTGTGTTTAAATGCCAGTTAGGAATGCATGATTCCGCTTGAGTGCTGCATTACATCAAACGAGTGTTGACCTTTATGTAACACTCGCATTGACTCATTTTGTAGCTTTTTATACAATAACATCTGGTAAATCTACATTTTAGGGTGAATCTGACACAGATGGGTCTGCTTCTGGACTGTCCGTGACGAGGTGTGAGCTCATAGCATTGGCAGCCAGGGAAAGGACCCAGCTGGCCATTCAGAAGTTTCAGCAATGCCTGATGACGCATATTTAGCCCCAACTGCCCGAGATCACATCACAAGCACAAAGGCTTCTTGAAGTTGGCGTTCATGTGATGAGTGACAGTGAAAAAGCCTTCCAGCGATCCAGAAGTGTCTTCAGGGATGTCTGTAACCCCTTTACCTACCTAGATGACACAACAAAGCAGCAGATTTTCTATTTTTCTTCTCAGGTTTCCTTTTATTAAACCACTAAATCTTCAAGAGATAACTGGTGAGTAGTCATAATATTATATATCCACTTCAATGCACTGCCTCTTCTAAAAGTACGATTTCCTCAGGGTATCATTTTNTGAAATATTTTCCACCAATATAGAATTACACAGCAATATAACATTTCATGATAGAAAATAGTTTCACTAATTGTGGTGGTTGCCCCATCAGCTCACTCAGTGTTAATTCTGTCCCATTTTATATTTCTCTCCAGTAAAAACATTACACACAGTCCTTTGTTCTCACATCTTTTAATGTGAACGGACCGAGTACATACACCTGGGTCTGTAAGATGGGTTGAAGCTTTGGTTCACTTATTGCTTAGCTGGCCTCTTTAAATTCAGGCCCTGATTTTGTTTTTCTAGTTTTGCAAATTACTTAAAATATTTGGATTTTTTTTCAATTTAATTCCACTGTGTTTTGCCTTTTTGCTTGGTCCCCAATACTAACAAGATTACAAATGATAAAATATTTTTTCACTACTATAAGATTACATATGATGGCACTTTGGTCAATAATTTCTTAGATGCAACTAGTGCTTACCAAGGATTCAACATGTTGGATTTCCTGTAGCACTGTAACCTCACTGTTTTGTTCTGCCATTGTACTCATTGTCTGTTTAGTCTCATCTAATCAAATCAGTGCAGAGCCTCAGGTCATCCAATAACATTAGGTTGAGCACATGGACAGAAGATGTCACTTGACTTGAATGAACAGATATGTCTGCTTTTATCTCTGAGCCAGCAGATTTTCTATTTTTCTTCTCAGGTTTCCTTTTATTAAACCACTAAATCTTCAAGAGATAACTGGTGAGTAGTCATAATATTATATATCCACTTCAATGCACTGCCTCTTCTAAAAGTACGATTTCCTCAGGGTATCATTTTYAACATCTTATTCTACCACTTCAATCAGTAAACCCAAACACCACATCACAACTTTACAGTTTAATAGTTTCAATGTTTTATTCTTCTTCATAGCTTCTTCCAAGTTATGTAAATACAAAAATTATTCAGAAATCATACCAAGACATAATTCCCTAATGTTATTTTCAAAACAGAGGCAATTTTTAAGTGTTGCATTTTGTACATGGCAAAGCTACTTATAGAATAAATTTAAAATTCTCCATATGGCTCAGTGGTACAAATAACACAACTGTTTTATTCACATAGATCAATTATATGYAACAAGTTTAAGACTATAAGAATCAGTGATACATTTCTCTTCGTRGTTCCACTGGTGTCGCCTGGATGAAATCTGCGATCGTGTGAATGGTTAAAAAAAAAAGACAGAATGGCCGGCACTGTTGCCATGGATCCCACTCTGGCGTCAGGGGCGGGATGTCTTGGAGGGACATCATGAAGAGTGATGGGAGCATCCAGTCTGTGCTAGCAGTCTTCCTGCCTTCAGCGCAGACCTTCATAAACATCACTTCACAGCCCAGTGAGAAGCCCACCTCAGACCTAGAGAGGCAGAGAGAGAAACACGCTCTCATACACACAGCACTGACATGAAGTATGTCTCACTGGTGAGGAAAAACATTACGAGACTGACAAAACACTGCTTAGTTTAAAAAAAGWGTCATGAACACTACTCACATGGAGGGGATTTTAGCTCCAGCCAGGACTTGAAGAGCAGGGTTAGGAGTGGAGGTGGGGTTTTGTGTCCATGTGAACGTTCATCTTCATCTCGTTGTCCAGAATTTGCACAAGCTGCTGCATGGAGGGCAAGTGACCCGACTCCAGCTTTGACCACACTGGCACATCTACACAAAGACAATACTCACTCAATAATCACTGCAACTCACTGTTATGACACACCATGATTACATAAAGTAGCACTACATGTTGTTCTGGGGTAATAACAGTGGGGGRAAAAAAGCACTGGGTTCAGTCAATAAACAATGCTGTGAATCACACTCACCATTTAGTGTGATTTCAAAAGCTCCTGTAGACATTAACTGGTTTTCAATCATATTGCTGAAGAAGAACACCATCATGCAGGCATATATCTGAAAGAAGCATGAGAGAAATCTCAGTTAGAAGTTCCACATGAAAATATATTTTCCAATTCTTCTGCTCTCACAATGGAATGGAGTAATGTACTGAGAATATACCTTTAAATCCCTTCAACACTGAGGACAAAGACCCCTGGCATGAACACGCTACAGTATTGACAGGTCAACATGACACTGCTTTAAGAAACTTCATCAAGCTACAACTACAAATGCGTGAACAGTCAGAGATAAACTCCATCCTACTTGTGGGATCTATGTTACAAATCTGGTAGTTAAAGTCAATTACTCCACAAAGAAAAAATGGGCAAACTTATCATTTTTTATGCAAGGTTCAGCTAGCACAGAAAACTGCAGCCCATTAACATGAAAGGTTTCCTGGTACCAGATATATATTTTGACTCTTGTTGCCTTRTCTTTTATTCTAGGTTTCTTATTCTCTTCAGTTTGCAGGATGGTCAGGAATGAACCGATTTGTGTATATGTGAMGTAGGCACACCTCGCACAGAGGTGTCCTTATTGATTGAGATTAGGACACAATGAGACTATGGAGAAGCAAATGACATGCCCCAGACAAATTAATATGACTGGACTACATTCCTCAAATCATTTGGTTAATTAATAGTTGTCAGGACATAGTTTAATGAAATATAATCAGAATCATTCTGACAAAATATCTACRGCAGCTCTAAATATGAACAGAGCTGCCATTAGAATGATGCCAAAACAAATCTTTATGCTCCGTATGAAATTTGGGTTTTCTGTAAACACAACTTAACGTCAGTCTAAGCTTTATGTTGAAACACMAAAAAATTACTCTGTGCAAGATGTAAACAGTCACTGGCCATTCTCCCTCTGAGCATTTAGCATGTGCGCAACCCTGAGGACACATTTAACAACACAACCTGAAGACCCGAAGGAACAGCTAATGAAATCCCACAGGTTGAGTTGCACTTGATAGTGTGTATGAACACGACTGCATCAGAAACACAGGCTACTTTCCTTCATTTCTACAGTCAAGTCATGTTCYTGTGTTCCTGATGTCTGTGCTGATTAACTCCATGTTCAGCAGCATCATACTGACTCCATACATATTAACAYTACAGTGCTCTTCCATAGGTTCAGGGCTGTACCTCTATTTCCAGGAAACCTTACCTTATTCCCCTGGCCCCACTCCCAGACGCCTGGAGCTTGCATACCAAAGAGGGCAAATGGGTCCCTGCCGATGATAATCAGCCCAATCACCAGTAGTTTGAACACAGACAGGAAGGAAGAAATGTGGCTGAGGGGGAAAAAAAGAAAGAAAGAAACTTAATACAATTTTTTCATTTTTTCAAATGACGCCAAAATATCAACACTGGTCACCACATAACTTTTAATACTTTATTCTTGACATTTCATTAGCAATTTTCTAAGTTCTGACTTTTAAAAGAGAATGGAATATGAAACTTTGGTCTGATCCAAATCTGAATACATTTTGGAGATAGGTTAAATAACACACTACGAGATCAATAACAACCCATATGAATTACACAACGCATCCACCATTATAAAACATGCTTTCATAAAGCTGGATATAATCCACTTGTAACAAGGCAGACTATCTTCCACTCTCTTACCGATAGACGGGAATAGGAAGGTAGTTCTCCCCTTCGATGCGGATGTCTGGGTACCGCTGGTACAAGGCCTGCATGTACTCCTCAAACACCCGCTTGTACCCTCAGGAAATGCTGTGGAAAGACGAGCACACAGTTAGAAAGACATGCACGGGGTCACTGACCCAAAGTTGGAAAACAAGCTGCGAGTAACAACATCATCTGTGACTTCTGATATCAGACACCTTGCCAAAGAGAAGCAATGCCAGCCATTGTATAATAATAATTTAGTATGGCCCTCGAGGGATGTAATAAAAATTAAAATGGCCCTCGCTAGAAAAAAGGTTCCTCACCCCTGCTGTAGACATTGTTTTGGGAAAATCTGCTGATCCATGGTCAACACATCAATGAAGAAAGTGTTCAGGAACCCTTTGACATCTTATGCTGAAATATTTATTGAAGCTTGGCCAAGAAGAAAATCAGAATTCATCCATACAAGTGCATGATGCTCTCTCATATTCTGAAGTCTGCTTTTCTGCAGTCACACCTTAAACCCCAACAGATCATTTAATCTATGGGTGTGCTTGTTCCTAAACAATCAAATGTATTTTCTAGTCATGGAGACAGTATTGCCGGCTTACGCAGTCTCATATCTGCGATGTCGAGGGAGTGAAGGCTTTGACCTTCGCCAAGCTCTTGCACTTCCCAAACACAACAGCCTGTTGCACTCTGCCCCAGAGAGGACTCTGAAAATCCCATAACAGACATATGTAAACCTCTTGTGAGGAATTTTCCGCTCAGTCGGATTCCATCTAATGTTGGCATTAGAGACAAGCATATGACTTTTTTCTTGTATAACTATTTGACTTGTTTGTCTTAGTATTGACTTCAACTGATTTGATTTCAACTACCACAGACTAACATATACCTCATCGTAAATATACTGACTTCCTGTGGTGTTTACACGGAGCTGTCACTCTAACAGGCATTATCTACTAAACTAGAAAGTTACTTGTTGAATGACAGTTAGTTAAATAAATCATTCCAGACACACAGAGCACTGTACTGGGGTTTGAAATAACCTCCATATTTATATAATACTCGTACACGTTGATCATCAGACCACAGGGTTGATCGATACCTAGCATGTTTGACAGCAGCGGTGAGAAGCTAATTCAAATAAATCTTCACGAGAAAGTCTAAGAAGAAGAACTTCTATGAAATACCCCCCTCATGTCCCGTGTTTCAACACTAGTTGAGTCATTCCGCTAATAAATAACTGGGAAAGGCTCCTTCTCCTCCAGCCAACAGGAGCTAACAGGAGCTAACACCCTGCCGGTAATCTGCTACGGATCTGTACGGCCTGCGGTGCTGTTAGCCGGAGAGCGGAGCTAGCTGGCGACGATGANGTAGTTTGAACACAGACAGGAAGGAAGAAATGTGGCTGAGG